CCCCAAAACCCCAAAACCCCAAAACCCCGTGTTCTAACGATTATAACAATTGAAAGAAATTAAAATTTAATTGAACAGTAATTTTAGATTATCCAAAAATGTTAATAGATCAATATATGGGCTCAAGCAGGCTCGATATTTCCTCCGAGGTTGAAGAGTCTTCAGCCATCCTGCAATCTTAGAATTTCTCAGATTTTTCCTAACTCAGAGAACAAAATATGAACGTGTAAAACTAATCTAAATGACCGTTCCAAACTCTGCTGCAAAACTTCATTCAGTATTTAATGTATATTGTAAGTGATTGGCTGACCTCTTTAATTAATAAATTAGGGATTTCTGACCGAGGATAAGGAAGAGAAAATCAAAAATCTAATTTAAAACATCAGTCAAAGGACATAGTTTCACGGTGCTCAACTAACTCATGAGCAGATACTGGCATTATCATTCAAGGAATATTTGTTTTCTTTGGACGATACCTAAATTTCATGTAAATACTGATTAAATTACTAAATTGTTTTTAGCTACCTGTCAGCTGTTTGTAGATAGATGGTTAAATAAAATAGATGCGAGGTATAGTGGAAAGTAAATGATTCCAGCCAATAAAGAGGATTAATAGGAGAATATAATAAAGGAAAAGATTATTCAGCAACCAATAGTTAAAATAAGCTAGAAGAACTCACCTTAGGCTTAGAGAGATCCAAATTATCATGAGAAGCAAGAACAGTAGAGATTGTAATCACCAACATTATCATAGCTTTAAAGACTTAGAAGGCAGAATGAATTATTGCTAGAGAATGATAAAATACAATCAGCCAGATTTTAAGCAGTCAAAGAAAGACTTGTCAGGCAGTATGCATAGTCTCCCAAAAAGCAATAGGAAATATAGATGCAAATTAATCAATTGAGCAGTATGACTGCTTCAAGGGGTAATAGTAATAATCATTCACATAAAAGCAGTGGTCAAGGTGAAAGATCTAAGTCATAGAATCAAAGAAATACTATATCACCTCGAGATTCACAAGTATTTCAGAGACTACACGAAGAGTCGAAAATGAAGTAGCAGTTTCAATAATAGATATAGGAAATTAAGATGATACACGAATTAAAGGATTGCACATTTTAACCAACGGTATCGTCGAATAATACAACTCCCTTATTCTCAATCCCAGTTGCATAGTAACCATCGTAGTAAAAAGGGAACGAAACTCTAATGACCAATATCTCAGCTATTGAGTAAGCAAGCTTAAGTCATAGTAATAGCAATATTAATCTCATCAGTAGAGATGATTACTTTACCAATTTATCGAAGGTGGGTTCTAAACTTTAAAAAGCCTAAGATTTAGAGAAAATCAAAGAAATATTAGAACTTTAAGAATGTACTTTCAAGCCTTAGATAAACTAGAGACAGTCATAATCACGCTAAAGATCAAACAGTAGATCAGATTCACCGAACGGGGAAGTCTGGGATAGATTGCATAAAGATCACTAAGATCTATAAGAACATAAGTAAAAGCAGGCTTAGGAAATCTTATCTTAGGAGCTGAAGGAATGTACTTTCAGTCCGAAAATAGTATCAAGAAGGTCCTTGAACAGTATAAGCTCCAGAGAGGAGGAACCTCAACCTTAGCCAAACCCTTACACAAGACTTTATGAAAAGCATCATGAATACTAGCAAATCAAAAAGTAAAAAGAAATTGAGAATAAGCAAAAGGAATTGGAGGAGTTTACATTCCAGCCTTAAAGAATAACTAAGAGCAAAGATAACAAGTATCCTAATTATGCGCAAAAGCCTTAAGATCACTTCGAGAAGTTGTATCAGGACTCTAAAAAGAATTAATCTAAGATACTCGAAAATATTCCAGAAAAAGAAGGGTCATCTTCTTCAGTTATAAATGCAAGTAGGAGGTAGCAGCAGATATAAACTTAAATAAGAAATAGAAAATCTATGAGCAGGAAAGAGATTATGATAGATACTGAAGACAGCTAGACTCTAAGTAACAGATCATATAGGAAGTAAGGCGAACAAGAGACTAAACCTAATGAAAGGTCTTTGTAAAGAATACAATCTAGCATAGTTATCCATCATCCTTAGTCAGCCAAGAACTCTTCTTACCATAAAAGCATCGTGGAGAAAAATGCACATACACAAGATCAAACCAATAAAAGTAAATAGAAAATATAGGGGTTGATGACAAATATATTAGACTATGAAAAGTAAAAATCTAGGCCCTTACCATTGAATACTTCAAATCAAAAGCAGTTCAAAACTATGAATTAAGTATCTTCAACTAAGAATGCAACTGCAATTAAGAACCTACTTAGTCCGACTCATTCAGTCCTGAACATTAGAAAGCCTGATATGTTCCAAACCGCCAGAAAGTCAATTGAGCCTAAGAAAAAGATATCCACTGCTGAGAGGCTGATTATAGAGGGACAGAGAATGCAAAGCAAAAAGGCTCAAATTGCAGTTTTATAATAGCATCTCTAGAGTGAGATGAGCAGGGTGCAGAACTAAAATACCAACAGATCAATATACAATACCGATACATCTAGGACCTATAATTATGACAGAAGCCTCTATGAATAGTCAAAGCATAATCTTAATCATGATTAGGATGGCTAGATGTACGAATTGTGATTTATCAATAGATATCAGATTTAATGTTGATTTCATAATTTACCTACTTTAAATTTACCAATATGACCTCAAATTTATGGGGTTTTGGGGTTTTGGGG